AAAAAAAAAAAAAAAAAAAAAAAAAAAAAAAAAACCAAGCATGAACCAGGTGGTGGTAGCGAACGCCTTTAATTCCAGCGCTTGGGGAGCAGAGGCAGGTGGATCTGAGTTCCAGGCTAGCCTCTTCCACAAAGCTAGTTTCAGAACAGCCAGGGCTATCCAGAGAAACCCTGTCATTTAAAAGAAGAAAACTCAATCTCAGGCTGGGAATGAAGCTGAGCCATCAGTAGCTTGCTTTCTTAGCATGTGCGATGCTCAGGGTTCAAGCCACACTGCTGAAAGAAAGATTCAATATAAGTGATGAGTGGGGGTCTGGGAAGTACGTAAATCAGGGGCTATCAAGAGAGACGGATAGTGAATATATAAAGACAGATGGGCTGGACAAACAGCTAGACTGCTTCCCAGCATAACGGGAAACAGAGTGAGATGGAAAAGGAGAATCCACGGGACCCCTGTAACTTACGAAACACGGCAGAATGTCAACTTAAACTGAACAAAGGATCTGAATGTACATTTCTGCGTAGGAAGACATAAAAATTTACATAACCCTGTGAAAAGACATTCCACATCTGTAGTCTTCCAAAATGCAAATCAAAAATACAGTGGGGTCCATCCATAATAAGTAATGTAGCCGGAGTTTCTTAACATTTACATAGTATGAATTAAGAAAAAGAAATTAAATCAAAGTTCCTAGGGCAGGTGCTTTGGGAATCAATACAACACAGCTTCAAATGATTAGATTAGTTGTCACAGGATCTAAGAATCCTACTTCTAGGTATATACCAAGGAGAAATTAAAGTACGTGCCATCACAAACACTTGTACATAATGCTTATAATAACATTCTTTATACTAGCCAAAATGCGGAATAAGCCCAAATGTAGTATATTCACACAATGGTCTCTAGGCATGTGTGCTTGAAAACATTATCCTAACTGAAGATAAGAGGTACAAAAGATTACATGTAATTCATCGCATAAAATATCTAGAAGAGGAAACCACAGGAAAATATCTATAATTTACATAAATGGGTGCATAAATTTACAAATACACCTTAAATGTATTTTCCCATCTGGGCTAACAATGCTTCCTCCAGGACACAGAGACCATCTAACAAAAAACTCAACACCAGGCATAAGAAGCCCTCTTTTGAGCGGTTGGTCGATGTAGTCCAAGCAACTCCCAAAACATTACAGGTGATTGCTGTTGCCCATGGTTGCCCCTAAGAGGTAGGAGGAAAGTCCTTATTGCTGAAGACACCATGCACTTCAGACATGGGGTCCAGAATTCCCTGAGCTAGAACTGACCTAAAAGCCTCTCCCTGAGGACTAGCTCTCATGGTTCTAGAAAGTGCCATGCAAACTTGCAAAGGAGGGAGGCAACCGATAGCCCTGCCCAGCTATGGTGCCTGAGAACCACAATGATAACCAGCATGGAACAATAACCCTAAGAGTGCAGTAGCAGCACACATACCTTGGCAGTATCCAACGGCTCTGTAACCAGGCATAAGATCTGATTAACAAGACAGAAAGCATGCCTGGTAGCAGAAACCCAGCCAACTACCCAGGGCTCGTGAATCATGGATCTTGGAGGAGAACCTACAACTACCACTTTCCTAAACCAGCATCATCCCTAACTATAGTCTGAATATTTGTCCTCATCGCCACAGATAAGTGGAGTCCTCACACCTCATCAAGAAGATTCTCTTTGCAACAGAAAATATTGCAGAAAACACAACCCAAAAAAAAATGCAGAGTTGTAGAATCTGGTCCCAACAGATACACCTACAATACAACTCTCAAATCTAAGGTTCAGGGACCATTGTAGGAAGAGAGATCGGGATGCTTGTAAAAGCCAGAGAATCAAGGAGAGTGCTGTAAGACTGTGTCTCTTAGGAACCAACATGACTGCCTGCCTGAACAGGAGCTGAACAAGGACCACAGTAGACAGGCTAACGTGGGGTGGGGACCCCAGGAGGTCTCGACCCTACACAAAGGACTCCCAGCAACTAATGCATCCTGAGGGCAGGAGAAAGTCTGAGCCTCCTGAGCCATCTTGCAGATACTGGGATTACAGGTGAGTACCACTATCATCTGGATAAGATATGTTTTCAAAGAGATGCAACTGTGGTACAACTGTCCCCCAACGTAATTGCACCTATCTGTGAATGCATTAAAACCGCTGGATTTAAATGATCAATTGTTTACATCTTAGTCTAACGGATTAACACCAAAATCTAAACCTATTTGTTTCTGTTTCTTTTGTTTTGTTGAGGCACGGTCTCCCTATGCAGCCCTGGCTGGCCTCCAATTCCAAGAGCCACCTGTCTCTGCCTCCCAAACGCTGGGATTAAAACTTTGCCACCATGTCCAGCTTAATTTTTAAAAAATTAGATCTTAATAAAGCTATTTAATGAAAAGAATTTGAGTCTTAGTATGTAAGAAGGAACCGAACTGAAGACATTTTGAGTAAAACTTCCATCTTGCATAGGGGTCAAGTGACGTTTAAGTTCCCAAGACCGTCCCAGACCTCCCTTGGCTGGCAAGCTGAGACATGAATGATGGGCAAACCACCCTGCCCTACGTGAGCGAACCAACCAATGAGAACAAGATAAGCGTACCACAGAACAGGGCTCCTAGGGAAGTCCCTAATCAGAACTTGGCACAGGAGTACTATCGTCCCTGACCAGTTGGTTTCTGCCATGCTGCCCAAGCCAATAAAATCCTGCTTTGTGTGGTCTCTTGTGTCTGCTTGGATTGCTCTGGAGCCTTGGACACACAACAGTAAACAAGTTTCAAAAATCAAGAAATTAAATAGTTGGGGGTTTAGCTCTGTTGGGAGAGTGTTTGCCTGGCATGCACAATGTCCTGAGTTTGAACCCCAGGACTGTATAAACCAGGCCTGGTGTCTCCTACCTGTAATCCCAGTATTCAGGAGATAGAACTAGGTTGGGTCAGTCTCATCTATAGAGTAAATTCAAGGCCAGCCTGGACCAGATGAAACCCTGCCAAGGAAGGCTGGAAAAAAGAGAAGGAGGAAGGGAAAGAGGAAAGGGAGGGAGAGAGGGAGGGAGGGAGGGAAGAAAAAAGAGAGGGAGGGGTGGAGGGTGGGTTGAAACATTTCCCCCACGATGTATTCTGAGGAAAAATATATTGTTTATTATCTCCTGTCTGATACAAGTGATAATCAAGTGCAGATGATAGTACAAACTGTACTTCAGTCTCACGTGCGGAGGGAGCTCAGACCCAGCCGAAGCAGCTTACATTCACTGAGGTGTTTGCTTGAGCAGCATCTTCGTCGTCCTCCGGGAACTGATATATCTGGATGCCGTTGCTGTCCAACTCGCTCATGATGTTACTCTTGAACCTCTGGAGGTCGCTTTTGGAAAGCGCGTCAGCTTTGGCAATCAGTGGTATGATGTTCACCTGTTGGGAAGGAAGGAAGGCGGGTCAAACGTCACAATTTTCCAGCCTAAACCCTACTCCTGAAAAACGTTGTGTGTGTGGTTTGTGGTTGCTGCTGGTGTTTCTGACAGGATGTTGGCTGGCATGCGGTGAAGAGGGCTGGGGTTACCCACAGGTGTGCCCCAGGGTTCTCAGCTACAGAGAATTTCTTGTTTGGGGGAGTGCTGAGGATTTAAACCTCAAGCTTTGAATGCTATAGATAAATGTTGTACCCTGAGCTACTTCGTGGGCCCTCATCTTTTATCAGAACTCACGCTTAGAAGCTTTGTCTTTGTTTCTCTTCTAAAAATCTCCCCTAAAACCTAGACAACAAAGAGGACCCTGAGAGAGACATGCATGGATCTAATCTACATGGGAAGTAGAAAAAGGCAAGATCTCCTGAGTAAATTGGGAGCATGGGAACCATAGGAGAGGGTTGAAGGGGAGGGGAGAGGAAGGGGGGGAATTGTTAAATATATATATATAACTCAATAAAAACAATAAAAAATTTAAAACATCTTCCCTAATACCTCTGTATTTTAAGCAGTAAGATTCAGTAGACCTATAACGTATCAAACTGGCTGACAAAAAGACTTCTCATCAAAATGCTGGGAGAAAGAGTTTTTCTCCTAGCTGTCACTCATGTAACCGCTTCTCCATAAATGCATGCTAACCAATAATAAGGTCTGGATGAATAAATATCAGCTTTATGTCAGTTGCCTTTATTTTCGAATTCTCAAAGCTCATTTTGCAAATTCTTGGACAAATCCCATGTTTTTCCAAACATTTATGCTAAACTAGAGGGGGGGGATCTAATAAGGGACTAGAAAATTTAATCAAATGAGAAAAATTTAATCTAAACTTGTGATATATATATCCCTATTTAGTTGACCCTCTATGAGAATACATACTTATGATAAATTCAAGCAGATGAAAGTATTCTGGCAGGAGTTCTGGTCTTGGGGAGAATCTCTCTGAGGAACTACAACAGCTTAGAACAGGTCTTTATGTAACTATAATATTAATGGTATTTTTAAGATTAAAAACTCAATGGTCTCAAAGAGGCAGATGAAAACTTTAAATTCAAAGTGTTACAGAGACTGAGAAAGCTTGAGATAATAGCCAGCATCTACTGTCCAATCCTTATGAATACGATGAATCTAGATAGACTTCAGAACAATCTTCCAAAAAGCAGTGGTCCCTGTGTGCAAACTGGAGAACTGGCTGAGCGTGTTGGAGCTGAGGTATAGGGTCACTATACCTTTAAGAACCTGTCCCATTCCTGCGGTGCATTCTAGATAAGAGGGAAAGCCACACACATCACTGTGTCTGGAGAAACATGCTGTGGGCCCGAGCCTAGAGCCCCTCCATGCCTCAACTACAGATTTTTCTAAAACCATGGGGTAAGACGTCTGACAAAGGAAACCCCACTTGTGATGGTAACACCTGTAAGTCTAACACCTGGGAAGCTGAGGCAGGAGGATCATGAATTCTAGGGCAACCTGAGCTACATAGCAAGCTCCTTTGTGAAAAAGGCAGGTCCACATGTCTCTTAGTCTCCCTCAGTGTTTTGCTTTGGGGTCTCTTTTTATACAGAGGGCAGCAGCTACCTTCCTGTTCTGTTTTCTGAGTCTTCTCTGAGAGAATTCAAGACCAGAACCAGAAAAGGTTCATGTTTCATTGTATCAGTAATACCAGTCAAAGATTCATAGGACTGTCTTATAGTACCATATAGTAAATTCAATTTTTAATTATATACAAATGGCTGTGATCTGATTAGAATTTTTCTTTTCTTTTTTTGTTTTGTTTTTTGTTGTTTTGTTTTTCAAGACAGGGTTTCTCTGTGTTCTCTGTGTAGCTGTAGCCTTGGCTGTCCTGGAACTGGCTGTGTAAGCCAGGCTGGCCCCAAATTCATAGAGACCCACCTGCCTCTGCTGGGATCATAGATAGGCATGTGCTATCACTGCCTAGCTGATCTGATTAGAATTTAATCACAGAAAAAAATTCTAGTTTTAGCCCAGCAGTGGTGGTGCACGCCTTTAATTCCAGCACTTGGGAGGTAACAGCAGGTGGATCTCTGAGTCAAAGGTCAGCCTGGTGGGTTCCAGGACAGTCAGGGCTACACAGAGAAACGCTGTCTCAACAAAAAGATTTCTTTCAAGTTTTATTTTAGTGTTTTTCCTGTACCTCTCTTTCCAAATGGCAAAAAAGTTGGGGAGTTGTTGGTTTTTCAGTTATTTTTTGGTCATTGCTGATTTTTTTAAGACATAGTCTCACCCTGCAATGCAAGCTGCCAGAAGACTATGTAGTCCAGGTTTGCCTCAACCTCACAACTCTCCTCCTGCCTCATCCCCTTAAGTCCTGACATTACAGGCATGCATCACCACACCAATCACCAATCAGTTATTGTTTTTATTAAATTTGCCTGCAATAATAGCTTAAGATGAAATTCTATCAAACATTAAAATTTCCCTCCTCTATATTTTATATATTGATAACCTTCAATGTCTCAGAGCATATCAGTACTTGCAGATGGAAATTTTAAATTAAAGTTAGACTGTTATAGTGGGGTCTAATCCAGTTTGGTGACCAACCTTATAAGAAAGAGAAATGTGGCCAAGTGTAGTGGTGCCTACCCCCAATCCCAACTCTGTAAAAACTAAGGCAAGAAAATCAGGAGGCTAAGGCCAACCTCAGATACATATCAAGTTCAAGGCTACAAAAGACCCTGTCTCAAAAAAGAGAAAAAGAACGTTGTCCATACAGACACCAGTAGATCAGCCATGTGAGAAAAAGGAAAGAGGTGGCCACCTGCAGGTCAAGAAGATAAATGCTTGCACCTTGATTTTCTAGATCGCAGGACTATGTGAAAAATGATTTTTTTAATTGTTTAAACCATCCACTCTTTGACATTTTTTTAGGAATTCCCCCAGTCAAATGCTCTCAAGAACAACAGAAAAAATATTTAAATATATGCACATATTCTAAAATAATAGGCAGTTGCATATGAATGCTTTGCAATATGATATCATCTCAAACATCTATTGGACCTTGAAAGACTGCTGGTTTAGGAAACACACCCTTCGGTCAATGTTCTTCATCGTCACCAGGTCCAGGGACTTGAGGGAATGTCCTGTAGGCGCAATGAAGTATAGGCACACATGGATACGGGAATCGTTATAGTCAACCAGGGAACGCTTGATCTTCAGCTCCTCCTGGAGATATGCCTCAAACTGAGCATCCAAGTAGTCAATTACTGGCTGGTAGCTGAAAAACAAATTATTATTTAAACATTTAGCACGACAGGTTAGTAAAATCAGAATCTAATGTCTTACTATTTAATCAACATTGTGTGCAATAGACAGTTTGTCACTTGATAAAAATCAATGCATTTTGCTGGGTAGGGGTAGCACACACCTTTAATCCCAGCACTTTGGGAGACAGAGGCAGGAGGATCTCTGTGAGGTGGAGGCCAGCCTGGTCTACACAGAGTTCCAAGACAGCCAGGACTACACAGAGAAACCCTGTCTTGAACACCCCCCCCCCAAAAAGATGCATTTCATTGACCATAAAATATAATTCCAAAGTAGGGGTGTGGCTCAGTGGTAGAATGCATGATATCCAAGTCCCAGTCCCTAAAGAATGTGACTTTATTTTAAGGGAAATGGCATTGTAGCTGTAATTTCGAATTTTTGAAGCAGGTCATAGTAACACATTTCCTATAATCCTAACACCAGAAGTCTGGGGCAGGAGGGTTGCTCTAAGTAGTCAACCTAGACTACTTAGTGAATTCAAAGCTAGCCTGGGATAAGTAGCAAAACCCAGTCTCAAGATAGTGAAAGATCGAAACTTGAATAAAGGTGACTGGGACCCTGTGTCCACATCCAGTGACAACTGTCCAACACATAAAGATCAGCAGAGATCGCTGTGTGACGGCGGAGGTACCGATGAGTGACAGCCGGCACCTGCAGCTACAATAAACAAGGGCTTTTTTCCTAAAGCCCTGGTCTAGCTGGACTCTAGAAGGCACCTTAAGTGATTTTTCACTTGTTCTGTAGCTCTCCAGGTTGGGTTTCTGTCAAGTTGACCCAGGCTATAGTTATCTAGGAAGAAGAACCTCAGCGGAGAAAATGCCTCCGTCACACTGCGTATGTACAACTCCGCCGGGAATTTTCTGGTGTAATGACCGCTGTGGGAGGGCAGAGCTCGCTTCGCATGGCGCCTTGATGGTCTAAGAAAGCAGGCTGAGCAAGCCGAGAAGAGCAAGTCAATACACATCACCCTTCCGTGGCTTCTGCTTCAGTTCATGCCTCGGTTGGTTTCTGTCAATGGGAAGGACTATGTCTCGTGATGTGTAAGCCTCTCCTGCCCATGTTGCTCTGTGTCATGGTTCCTTACCACAGCAGTAGAAACCAAACTAGGATCGGAGCCCAGCCTGGTCTCCAGCTCACAGCAAATCCTCCTGCTTTGGTTTCTTCTAAGCTCTGACCCCTTGCTTCTGGATTTCTGGACTGTAGATGTGTGAAAGAATGTTTCTATTGTTTTAAGCATCGGTCTAAGGGATTTAACCACAGTCAATTGCAGCAACTAATGCAAAATGAACTGTGGTCTTATTTTTATCACAGAACAAAGCATGTAGCGTTTAGTAGAATCAAGCTGATTATTAAAATGATGTTCGCTTTCTAAGAATAACTACTTAAAGCAACATGACATGGTCCTTTGTGTCATCCTTTTTCTGTCTAGTCTTTGTTCAAAACCTTGTCCTGAAATAGAAAGTAATGGTGATTATTTAAGATGTTCTCTGCAAAGAAAAAAAAAGTACTGATTTTTAGAATTTGCTGGCTTCAAGGCAGGCATGGTGATGCACAATTTTATTTCCAGCACTTGGGAAGCAGAGGCCGGTGGCTCTCTAAGTTTGAGGCCAGCCTGGTCTAAGGAGTGAGTTGTAGAAGAGCCAGGGTTATACAGAAAAACCCTATCTCAGAAAGAAAAAGGAGAAGGAGGAGGAGGAGGAAGGCTGGAGAGATGGCTCAGAGGTTAAGAACATTGACTGCTCTTCCAAAGGACCTGAGTTCAATTCCCAGCAACCACATGATAACTCACAACCATCTGTAATGAGACAGATTTGGTGCCCTCTTATGGCCTGCAGGCATACATACAGAAGGAGGAGGAGGAGGAAGGCTGGAGAGATGGCTCAGAGGTTAAGAACATTGACTGCTCTTCCAAAGGACCTGAGTTCAATTCCCAGCAACCACATGATAACTCACAACCATCTGTAATGAGACAGATTTGGTGCCCTCTTATGGCCTGCAGGCATACATACAGAAGGAGGAGGAGGAGGAAGGAAGAGGAAGGATGACTTTTCTGGCTAATTCTATGCTGCTCACATGATGCCATTAAGTCAGAGCTGAGGCAGAGCAGGCTAGAAAGGTGAGTCAGCTAAGACTGTTTGCTGCTCTTCTAGAGGACCCAGGTTCGATTCCCAGCATCCACATGGAAGCTCACAACTCTCTGTTACTCCATTTGCAGGGGATCTAACACTCTCTTCCAGTCTCCATGGACACCAGGCATACATGTAGTACCTAGACACACACACAGGCCAAACACCCATTCACATAAAATAAAAATTTTAAATAAAGCAACTACACTAGATATATAAAAGCACCCATTTCATAATAATATTACTTCATGAGGAAAGAATTAAAAGCCAGAAGGAAAGACATCAATTACCATAGAAGAAAGTACAATTTAGGGCTGAAGAAATGACCCAGTGGTTAAGAGTACATTATTGCTCTTTCAGAGGACCTGAGTTCAGTTCCTGGCATCCATCAAATGGCTCACAACCTCCACTAACTGAAAAGACTCCAATGTCTCCATTATCTACAGACACCTAGTATGTACACACACACAAACTCACACACACACACAAACTCTCACACACACATACACACACACAGTTAAAATGATAAAAATAAAAATTTTAAGATAATACAATTTAGCCTAGCAAAAAGAAGGCAATTTGTTGAAATGAGAAGGATTTTAAATAAAATATCAAAGCATACTGCCTGATGGCACATACTTTTTATCCAAGCACTTAGGAAGCAAAGGCAGGTTCAAAGTCAGGCTGATTCTATAGAGTTCCAGGATGGTTGGGGCTACATAGCAAGACCTGTCTCAAAAAAAGGGGGGACTGGAGAGATGGCTCAGAGGTTAAGAGCACTGAGTGCTCTTCCAGAGATCCTGAGTTCAATTCCCAGCACCCACATGGTGGCTCACAACCATCTGTAATTCGATCTGGTTCCCTCTTCCGGCATGCAGACAGAACACTGTATACATAATAAATTAATTAATTAAAAAAATAAAACGCATCATAATAAAACCCAATACCTTTCATGCTAACTTTAAAAATTAATTTAAAAACCATAAGAAAGCACTAACCTGGCTTCTTTGTTTATCTGGTCGCCGTACCCCACTGTCTTCACAACAGTCAACTTTAGGGGAATGTTTCTTTCCTGGAGTTCGTACGTCTTCACTTTAAGTCCAACCTTTGAATAGAAATGGGAGGCCTTGTTCTCCTTCAGATTAATATTGAACAGTGTGTTGATCAGTGTTGATTTGCCGATTCCAGTTTCTCCTGTAACAAACATAAGCTCGTCATTGCAGAGGTGTAAGAGAGGGCCCAACCTCAATGAGCGGTTTAAATGGTTCTAAATGGTCGCGCTTCTAAAAGGGAAGGGCAGAATGATCTCAAGAGGCTGTGGCTAGAATTGGGGTTTATGGATAGGAGCACACATTGCTTCAAATACGCAGGAGTGATTTTTCATATCATTCTGCACAGCAGAATGACTATAGCTAACGAAAAAGCACATTTCAAAATGGCCAAAGGATGAACTTCAGGTGATAGGAAAATAGAGAGTGCTTCAGCTGTGGATTGTGCCTGTTATTAACATTTAAAAAAACTGATTGGCTGATAGTAGGGTAAGAAGAGATTGGGCCAGAGGCAGAAAGAATAATAGGTGAAGGAAGGGCAGAGTCAGAGGGTAAGGAAACTGCAGAGAAGCAAAATGAGACAAGGTACCAAGCCATGTGGCTAAACATAGATAAAACTCTGGGTTAATTCAAATGGAAGGGTTAGCTAGTAATAAGCCTGAGCTATCAGCTAAACTTTTATGATTTATATTCAGCCCCTGAGTCAGTTATTTGGTACCCTGCGGTCAGGACAGGAAACATCCAATCACAGACTATGCTAATGATCTTGCTCAGATTTTTCTATATTGTTGTATCACAGCAGCATCTTATATTCTATCCGTGTTTAGAACTAGAGTTTGCTGAGTGACAATGACATTTGCTTCCAATGCATCCATGAACAGTCACAATGAGATGTCCCTCAAAATCTTCATATTGGTTAGGGCTCCCTTAGTCACTAACGTGGAAAAGAAAGAGAATATACTGTTGTGTGTCAGACTTTGAAGAACACTGAAATATTTTCAGTTTTAAAAAAAAAATGAGAGCAGAGAGATGGCTCAGCTGTTAAGAGCACTGCCCGCAATGTGAGAGGTCCTGGGTTTGATTCCCGGTTGAGACAGGGCGGCTCTCGGCTGTCTGTCCTAAGGTCCTGCCGGGTGGTGGTGGCGCACGCCTTTAATCCCAGCACTTGGGAGGTGGAGGCAGGCAGATCTCTGGGAGTTCGAGGCCAGCCTGGTCTACAAGAGCTAATTCCAGGACAGGCACCAAAGCTACAGAGAAACCCTGTATCGAAAAACCAAAGAGAGAGAGAGAGAGAGAGAGAGAGAGAGAGAGAGAGAGAGAGAGAAGATCTGATGACCTAGAGCAAGCTGTCCTCAAGCTCATAGGGATCTGCTTGTTCAGCCTCCCAAATGCTGGGCTAACAACACATGTTACAGTCATGGTGGCCCATGGCTTTAATCCCAGCACTCGAGAGGCAGAGGCAGGTGGATCTCTGTGAGTTCAAGACCAGCCTAGTCTACAGAGCGAGTGCCAGGACAGCCAGGGCTACATGGAGAAATCCTGTCTCAAAGAAAAATAAACAAAAGAAAACAAACACCATGTGTCGCCAGGCCAGACTGAAAGCTTCTTCAGTGTTTAAACAATGCAGTTAAGAAGGGGAAAAATGTGAAGAAACGTTCCTGAATTAACATTAGTATTATGCTGTTTGGTATCAGTTTAAATGAGCAGGAGACAAATGAAATAATAATTTAAATGCAGAATTTGGCACTTACCCACGCAGAGAATATTGAAAGAGAATCCTTTCTGGATGGATTTGTTCACCAGCTGAGTGGGCAGACATTCAAACCCAAAATGGCTAAGAGTGGTTAAGCAGCGGATGTTCTCGTTGGGCTTAGGTAAGACAAATAGAAGGGTTCTTATTAGAATCAGAAATAACATCCTTGGGAAGGACAACACTCTGTTTAAAAAAGTCGGGACCAGTTATCCCTGCGTTGTCAATTCAACGCAAAGGTATGAAGTGAATTTTTCGCAAAAAGAACTCAAATGTTGATGGCCTTGTCACAAATAAATTGAATCAACCTCTGATCACACTCTAAGAGGACATGTTTCTAAATTTAATAAGAAATTAAAGACAACAGAACAGCATTTGAAACCCCAGGGAAGCCGGGTGGCAGTGGGTGGTGGTAGCACATGTTTTAATCCCAGCACCAGGAACCAGAGGCAAGTGGATCTCTGTGAGTCGGAGGCCAGCCTGGTCCACAGAGTAAGTTTTAGGACAGCTAGGGTTACACAGAGAAACCCTGTCTCAAAAAAACAAAAGAAAAAGAAAAAAGGAAAGGAAGGGAGGGAGGGAGGGAGGGAGGGAGGGAGGGAGGGAGGGAGGGAAGGAAGGAAGGAAGGAAGGAAGGAAGGAAGGAAGGAAGGAAGGAAGGAAGGAAGGAAGGAAGGAAGGAGAAAAAAAGCTGACAAGATGGTAAACACAGGACTTCACTTAAAGTCCAACGCCAGGTGGGTAAAAGCTAACACTGGGCCAACACCCACTGATGGGACCTCTGGCTTGGTGGAAGGGCCAGAGATCTGTCCTGCAGGCTATTGGCCTGCCAGTCTGTCACCCGTGAACACTGGTGCAGCCAACAGTAGCATAAACCTCGACTGTGCTCCAGCGGTGTGCAGGGTTGACAGACTGTGGGCTCTGGGCAAGATAATAAAGTACAGCATTCGTGGCTGGGAGGCTGTGAACTTGACATTGGTTCTCAACCTGCAGGTCGTGACCCCTTTTGGGGTCACATATCAGATTATCCTGCATATCAGATTTTTTATTGTTTTTTTTTTTTTTTTCTGAGACAGGGTTTCTCTGTGTAACAGTCCTGGCTGCCTGGAACTCACTCTGTAGACCAGGCTGGCCTCGAACTCACTGAGATTCTCCTGCCTCTGCTTCCCAAGTGCTGAGATTAATTTAAAGGTGTGCACCACCACTGCCTGGCAATGAAAATAATTTTATGGTTGGGGTCACCACAACATGAGGAACTGTGTTAAAGAGTCGTAGTATTATGTTGGTTGCGATCCACTGACTGACGTAGAAGATTGGAATAGACAAGAATGTGCACACACATACACATGTATACAGGGGCACACACGTGTGCACACATGCACACCAAAACCTGGGGAGAATCCTACAGTGCCTGAACACTGGGTGATGACTGTCGAGAGATCTGGACCGACCCTGAGCCCATCAGTGAGGCCCATGGGAAAAGACAACCTGCCGTTTTCAGATATATCCTGTCCTGCCTTCTAGACAGTTCCAGTGACATGAACTTCGGGTTCAAAACAAGCCTAGCTTGGCTTGTCCTGTAGTGCTGACACAGTGGCCACAATACAGCATGTCTCCTTCCACAGGCAGCTTTGTATGTGCCCGTGGCACCTGCTGGGACTGAGGGCAGTTGCTTCCAGCCCTTTGCTTCTGCGGGAGCTTCTGGTGTCCGTCCCGTTGGCAGAGCTCAACTCAAAAGTGCCACTGCTACCATCATCAGACTAGACAAAGAAAGGGTACTGCACACTCAGGGCTGTGTGCACGACAGCTGCATGAACAGTTAGAATGTCCCCACCCATCGTGACCCTCAGCAATAAGTTCTCTTCAAACCTATAGCATCACGCACTACCCCCAAAGCTATTAATGACAGCCTCGGACGATGCAGACAAACGGACGTGTCCACTTGGAATCAAAGCCAAGACTCGCACCAGATTGAAATGCCAAGATACATCCTCAGGAGGAAGCCCTTTACTGGGACACTTTTAAGTGTGGTCAAGACAACTGATGAAGGGAAAATAAGAGGAGGGGAGGGGAGAGGAGTTGATTGATTTTGAAGAGAAGAGAAGAGAAGAGAAGAGAAGAGAAGAGAAGAGAAGAGAAGAGAAGAGAAGAGAAGAGAAGAGAAGAGAAGAGAAGGTGGTGGTGGAAAACTCCTTTAGGGATGCAGAGGCAGGAAGATTTCTGTGAATTTGGGACCAGCCTAGTCTACAGAGTGGGTTCCAGGACAGCCAGAACTGTTACACAGAGAAACCCTGTCTCAAAAAACAAACAAAAATAAAATATTTTTTTTAAGTTTTCAAAAGAACATGGTAATTCTCTAGCAACGGTTCCCAACGAAAATGCTATTGAAGAAATGTCTGACAAGAAACTTAAAAATGTTTTAGTTTATTTATCTAGTATGTGTTTTGGCTAAACTAAGAAAAATGCAGAGAAGATTTAAATAAACAAAACCAAAGATGAAAAGGGCTGCATCATAACAGACCCCGAAGAAAATCAAAAGGACATTAGACAGATCCAAGATGGCGGACAAGAACACTCACCAGTTTCTCCAGCTGGTGAAACCAAAACAACCAGAGAACAGCCAAAAGGATCAGACAAGCTTGGGGAAGTCAAGAGGCTTTAGACAGTGGAACAGTGGGCTCCTCAGAACAGATTTCACAACTACACCGCAGAGATGGACCCAGTACAGGAGTGGGGCTGGGCTGAAATGCACTTTTGGCAGACAGCAATGGGATCCCCCAAGAAATCTGGCTCTCAAGAAATTGTGTGCCTGGGCAGTGATGGTGTGTGCCTTTAATCCCAGCACTTGGGAGGCAGAGGCAGGTGGACCTCAGTGAATTCGAGACCAGCCTGGCCTACAAAGCGAGTGCCAGGACAGCCAGGACTGTTACACAGAGAAACCCTGTCTCGAAAAACAACAAAACAAAACAAAAAGTTGTGTGTTCTCCAAAATCATGCTTACAGTGCACAATGGGGAGTTATCTTGAGAAGAACCTGAACTTGCTTGTCTAGGAGTCAAGGAGTCCAGGTTTGTTTGTCCCTGGGAACCCCCAGCAGTACTATACTGACTCAGCAGGCAGCGGCCTTGAGACCCAGTTTGTCCCTAGTGGAAAACATCTGATATGAACGCAGCACCACCAAGAGCTTCTTGCAGTGGGAAGCTGGTCTGTGATGCAAAAAATAAAAGAGGAAAGTGTCCCTTTAAGACCGGCAGCTCAGAAGACCAGCTGGGAGAATCCGGAAAGAATCATTGCTAGTCATTTTGTGCAACTACTCGAGTCCCAGAGTCCCAGGTCTGTGGGAGACATACTGATAGGCAGGACTGCAATAAATCAGAAGTCTTCTGCACAGCAAAGGAAGTGATTGACAGTGAGGAAACAAACTACCGCATGGGAGAAAACCTTTTCCAGCTATTCCTAGGACAGGAGACTGGTTGGCTAGAGCCCCCTGATCTTAGAGACCCTGTGGCCTCTGTCAACAGCAGTCAGAGAGGCAGATCACACATTGCTTTGCTGTAACAGGGCCTCCTCCTACCCTTCCTTAGCTTTCCCATCTGGGGAGGAGGGGTGCAGGGGGGTGTGGGGACAATACTAATTGCAGGCGACAGTAAGTGAGTCTCTATACCGCTTCCTCCATGAAGTACTTTGCCACGGTGATAGAAAACTCATTTTAATCTTGGATTTAGTCTCCTTTGCTTTTAAATGAGAATAATGTTTTTGCCCAAGAAAAAGATCAACAGAGTCAAGAAGCGTGTTAACAATCATTCAAACTGCTGTTTCCAATTAAATCTAACCAGTATGTTCATTCATTTCCACAGAGACCAAGCCTCCTTTGCTGGCCGGACCTGACTTATAATCAATATTTTGAAACTCCTTATTGATATACACAATGAATAGTTATATTTGAAAGATGAACTTAACTGTGTCTTCGTTGCTCGGTATTTGTGTCGACATGTCCCTTGGGTTTTCTGCCATGTCAGACCGAAAAGGCTGAAATAGAGAAAACATTGTCAGCTCTGCCTACAGCGGTCATATTCTTTAACCTAACGTACATTCATGGAGAACCCACTACAGAAACTGCCACAAACTTTCCCATGCCGTTCTCACAGTGCTGATGCCTAAACAAGTTCGTGTGCGCTCAAGAACACGGCCAATATATAAAGTAACATCACTTAACAAACGATACACAAGACGAAAAGAAAGATAAACTCGCGTAAAATCGGAAAGTTACAGAGTTCGTTGTTTTTGTGGATTGTGTTAGCTAGCGATGGATTTCACTGTGACGGTCCATACCTGCATAGCACCATCCTCAGTCCTCCGTTTAAACGGCTCTGAGCGTGGGGAAAAGAAGAAGGGGCAGGACAAGAAGAAAGACACTCAGAATGATGTCGGTTCCAAAGGACCTTACCACTGAAGCTGGAGCATAAGCCTCCAGCCGTTAAAGGGGAATTGAAAGGGGGTGGAATTAGATCATTGATAAAGAAAACAGACTTCTAAAATCTACACCAGTTCTTTAGGAACCAACCCAAAGGCGAATGTTGCCTTCAGGAGGCACCTTCATGCCCCTAGCATTGTGCTGGGTGCTTTACCTCCTGCCGTAGTTAAAGGACCCCTAAGATCGTCAGACTCAGAAACATCAAGGGACTTACTTGCCCGGGTTCCAGCTGCACAGTGCGCAGAGTCTGAACGGACTCTGAGGCTGCTGTGCTCTCCCTCGCTATCTGCAGATATGGACCGAACTAATAGCTACTGTTTTCGCAACAGTTGGGAACAAGGGAGTGGAGGTACAAAAGAGCGTGTTGTCCTGGTTTCCAAGCAGAACACTCTGAGAAGGCCACGCTACCCCACTTTTGAGTACGAGGCAAAGAAGCTAAGACTATGAGGCCTTTTGAAAGGACGTGTGTACTTCTGTTTTATACATTTGAGTGTGTTGGCCTGCGTGTGTATATATGTAGACCATGTGTAAGCCTAGTGACCTAGACTTCAGAAAAGGACATTGGATGCCCTGGAACTGGAACTACAGACACTTTAGAGTGCTGGGAAAGCCAGGTCCTCTGCAAAAACAGAAAATACTCTTAACTGTTGAGCCATCTTTCCAACTTCCATAAGACATGTTTTTTAAAAGAGATATTATGTGTGGAGGAAGCAAAATAAAAGCAGTGGTTCTGTTTCATCTGACATAGCTGGGGATTATTCACCACGAGTACATAACTTTATCTCATGTTTCCCTTGATGTTAAATAAGATTCACAAATGGCCTCTGTTCTACTGTACGATTTACTCTAGTACATGTGAAGTCTCTGTATGTATTTAGTAGAAACTTAATGTTGGCCATTGTCATGTTTTCCAGTCCTTATCTGCAATCAGTAATAAGTGTTTCAGAAGTTAAAAATGGAATTGTTTCAAAACTTCTTATAACATAAAGTTAAGTGCCATATTTGGGGGCTTATGTCTATAACCTCAGCACTTGGGAGACAGAGGCAGGAGGATCAGGAATCCAAGATCATTTTCTGATACTTAGTCCATATCTTAGCCAGGGTTTCTATGGCTGCCATGAGACACCATGACCAAAAACCAAGCTGGGGAGGAAAGGGTTTATTGGTTTACACTTCACATTTCTGCTCATCGTCAAAGGAAGTCAGGACAGAAACTCTAACAGGGCAAGAACCTGGAGGCAGGAGCTGATGCAGAGGCCATGGCTTCTGCTTGTGGCTTGCTCAGCCTGCTTTCTTATAGACCCCAGGGCCACCAGCCCAGGGATGGCACCACCCACAACAGGCTGGGCCTTCACCGTCAATCCCTAATTAAGAAAATGCCCTATAGACCTGTCTAACTCCAGCTAATGGAAGCATTTTCCTAACTGAGGGTCCCTCCTCTCAAAGGACTTTAGCTTCTGTCAAGTTAAACTCTCTCCAGCACAGTCAGCTTGAGTCCAGCATGAGCTACCTGAAACCCTGTCTGAAAAAAACAAAATGTTTAAGTGCCTAACTACAAGTTGAAAAGTGACTACTTCTGCACAGCTGGTGACATTATGATAAATCCGCTAAATTAGAGACGCAAGCTTTTTGTCTAAAAATAGCCTAACTCCTAGTCATGTAATCGCAACTCTCCTCTGAGAAGCCCACACCGATGGTCTCTCATGAGTCTTACTTTCTTCCCAGTGGCCTCTCTTTCTCTTAATCCTTGGGCTTCAAATCTATGCTGAAAACGTATTTTAATAAAGTCCAACTTTGATTAAAAAAAAACAAATGGGTAATAAAAGCCAATTACCAATGTCTTAAAGAACTAAAGGTATTCTTCTAGCACATAAATCTAGAGCGGAAGAGGGCTGGAGAGATGGCTCAGTGGATACGAGCACTGACTGTTTTTCCAGAGGACCCGGGTTCAACTCCCAGCACCCACATCAGTCAGCTTACAGTCCTCTGCAACTCCCGCTCCAGTGATCCAACACCTCTGGCCTCCATGGGCCATTCATGCACACACACACACACACACACACACACACACACACACACACACGTACACGCAGAGTTAAAGATAGCAGAAAGTATTTTTTAAATATAGAAATATAGAGCAGAACTTCTCACAAGATGACCACTGAGCCCCTAGAGATTCCTCGGGCTCGTTGGGGGTACCCACGAAATCACTTTTGTCCCCTAACAATGCCGGGAGATGCTTTGCCTTTTCTACTGCGCTGAAATGTACACCAGTGATTCAACAGCAGGGGTGGGTAAATTATCTGCTCCTTTCGCCAGTGCCTGCCAAGTCATATTATCGATCGTCTTGTTATTTACTATGTGGCCCGGAAAGAAGAAAAGCGGAGTGGGTTACCATAAAGCACTGCTGCTGTCTACTTAGCATGATGGCGTCTAGAGGAAAACCACCATTGGGATGGAGTTAGGACAAAAACAGTAACTATCCAGTGGACCCATCTCAGGTGCTTTCCAGGGTGGATTGCAGGGACAATTGACAGACACTTGATTATTCGGTCTTGGGTACTTGGAAGACAGTTTCTTGGAAATTAAATGTGTGTTGTAACATCAAGGAAAGCAACTGGCGTAGGCTCTAGTGGTACGCATCGATAAATCCACTCAACGCAGAACTGGAAGTTTGAGCCAGTTTGAGACATTTGGTGAGTTTTATTTAGTTGAGATACTTAGTGGGCTGTATACAAAACTCTGGGAAAAGTGAAGGAGGAGGATGAAGGGAACAAGAGAAGGGAGGATGTCAGGGATGAGAACAATGGGGGAGGAAGAGGAGATGGCAGAACAGAGGCCCCATCATCCACCACCTCCTCCTCCACCCAGGAGAATCAAAGTGACAATTCTATAGCCGCACTCTGAAGTCAGTGACCCTGGAAGACAACTGGACTTCACCGTGAGAGAAAGCTTGCAGGGTTTAGAAACACGATAATGGCATGCAGAGAGAAACAAATTCTCCGGGCATCTGCGGTCCTGGCTCCCTATCTGTAAAGAGCGGGGAGGCTCCCTTTGGCCCGGATAAGCTCAGAAGGAGTCTCCGGACACACTTATCAGTACAGATGCTGACGATCCCAGCTCTGGGGGGGTTTCCTAAGCCTCACAGGCCGGGGAGTTACTGAAACCAGCACAATTGTCTTACTTTGAGAAAAGATCCAGAGTGCTGAAGTCAGACCCAACTTGAGAAGGAAGCTCTTGTCTGACCCTGAACTGCACTGAGTCAGAAACCCTCCACCTTCTTTTCTCCCCTCTCATAGATTGCATTCCCACCACAGTTACGCCCCCCCCAATCCACTCTTCCTTCATTTCCCTTCAGGAAAGGATAGGCCTCCCAGAGATATCAACCAAACTAGGCATATTAAGTTGCAATAAGACTAGGCACCTGCCCTTGTATTAAGGCTGGATGAGGCGACCAACCGGGAGGAAATGGCTTCCAAAAGCTCGCAAAAGAGTCAGATACTGCCCCTGCTCCCACTGTTAGAAGTCCCACAAAAAGACCAAGCTACATGATAACATATATGTACGATAACATATATGCAGAGGGCCTAGGTCAGACCCAGGCAGGCTCCCTGATTGCCAGTTCAGTCTCTGGGAGGCCCTGTGGGCTCTGGTTGGTTGATTCTGTGGGTTTTCTTGTAGTGTGCTTGTCCCCTCTGGCTCCTACAGCCTCTCCTCACCTTCTTCCCTGAGCTCCTCTGCCTAATGTTTAGCTCTGCGTCTCTGCATCTGTTTCCATTATTCTCTAGACAGTGGTGCAGGCCTTTAATCCCAGCACTCAGGAGGCAGAGGCAGGTGGATCTCTGTGAGTTCGAGGCCAGCCTGGTCTACACAGTGAGCTCCAGGACAGGCTCCAAAGCTACAGAGAAACCCTGTCTCAAAAAACCAAAGAAGGAAAGAAAGAAAGAAAGAAAGAAAGAAAGAAAGAAAGAAAGAAAGAAAGAAAGAAAGACAGACCTTTGGTTAGCTGTTTTATTTTCTCATTGCTGGGGGGATAAACTAACAAAAGCAGCTTGTCATTGTTTGACTCCCAGTTTGAGAGTCTACTTTGTCATGGTGAGTATAATGGTTTATATTGTCAACCTGATAGGGCCTAGAAACACCTAGCAAATGAGCCAATGGTCATACCCGTGAGTGATTATCTAAATTAGGTTGGCCTGTGTTGGTGCCTGTGCAGTGTTATCTACCTCAGCTTGACCTCTGAGCTTTCCTATAGAGATGAGAAGAGCACGTAAGAATGGGCCACGCCATTCCCTAGCCTCTGGTCCCACGCAGCACAGAAAAGAGAAAGTCTCTTGGCTACAAGATGCAAGGTGACCAGCTGCCTCAAGTTTCTCTTGCCTTGTGACTCCCCCATCTTGACTGAATGTGACCTCAAACCATGAGCCCATAGGACACTTCCTCCCTTAAACTGCTGCTGTCGGGTGCTGTTTTTATCACAAGCACAGAGATGGTAACTGATGTGGAAGGCGGTAGGGAGAAATGGGATCGCTGCTGTAGTGAAACCTGACCGTGT